AAAAAAAAAAAAAAAAATAACACTGTCCACTGAGGAGGGTATCGCCCTGGAGACAATTTACAGAGGCTGGTTCCACAGACAAGAGGGAGTGACACAGCTGTTGAAGAGCTGGAATGTTCTGGGAGAGCCACTGTTGCTAGCTGTGTCGTCCAGCTTTAGTTATTTTCCATTCATAGACTCTCCCGTGTCAACAACGAAGCACACCTGTGCCTCTCCGCCAGGACTCCTGAGACTCAAGTCCGGTTTGACTTTCCCCAGAGTATGGTAAAACAATTTTCATCCCATAAGACAGGATTAGAAGAAAATAAGCTTTTAAAGCTTTCCCACCTATTCTTTCTAATGTCAGAGTGTGGAATGAGATAAGAAAATAAGAAAAAAAGAGAGAGAGAGGGAGCGAGGGAGGTGGGGAGGAAGGAAGGAAGGAAAGAAAATACCAGTGCTGAGGGGTTTATATTTTGTGTAAGTTTAATTTTTTAAAAATACTTTGACACAGAGTGGCCGACCCAGGCTTCTCCTGACCTCTTTTAATCTCAAGTCCCTAGAGTTTGCTCTAATGCGCATTTCTTTACCTGGGTTAGGGAGGAGACACCCAGGGAAGCCGCCCCTGAGAACAAACAGGAGTATCAACCACATCTGTGTTTTCTTTTACAGTAGACTATGTCACGGCAGCATCTAAGAACTCATCACTTGGAATTCACCAAAAGGATGTCACCTAACTGAGAGCCTAGGTCTGAAGAGCCATGATTATCACACTCTCTCCCCGGAACCCTAAGATTCTCCAGGAAGGCCCTGGGGCTACCCAAGAGGACACGGAGACGGCAGAGCAGTCGCCCAGCCCGCTGACCAGAGCCATACAGTCATCGGGCTCTGCGTGGGGGCTCTGCCTGCGTGACAATCTGTGCAGTGTCCCGCTGTGGTCAGAGTGCTGAGGACAGGTGGGTGACTGCGGGGCACGCGCACGGAGCAGTTACCTGTCTGTGGAGCCAGGCCTCGCTTTCATCCTCGTGTTTCTGAAATGAAATAAGAGCATTAGATGAGGGTTTGTTTTGCACACGTTGTGTCTGTGGCCAACAGCACGGAGAACAATTCGGCTTCATCTGCACGGTGGCTGCACAAGCACAAAACAGCTGCCCGGGCTCGCTCTGGGAGGAGGTAATCCCTGCTCAGCTCTTTGTCTCGTGTGCGGCTCAGAGCCCAACACAGTGTCCTCGACTGAGAAAAATGCCACTGTCCCTAACAACAGGGACAAATTCGTGGCGTGCAGGAGTCCTCTGGAGAACGATGGCACGTCTGCCATTTGACGGTCACCACTGCCCGGCATGTGTCCCTCTAAAGGCTAACCTCGGGCGCCACACTGCGTCAGGAATTTGTGTGTGTGTGTGGACACTGCATCAGAATTCCAGTCTCTAACTCTGAGTCACAACCCTGGTGGACCACAACCCTTAAAAGGGGTTAAAACAAACATGAAGAGTAGCTCTCAGGGCAGCGTTGTGGAACGACGCACAAACAAAACAGAAACAGAACCCGGGACACCCCGATCTGGCCGTTCAGCGACACGGAGTCACCCCCAGGCGCTGTGGGCCTGTCGCCGCCACTGCTCTGACGTCCCGCACCGCGGGCAGTCCTGCCCCTGGGCCACCGGCGGGACACAGCCTCCGTGGCTGACTCACGGGTCAGGGCACAGCTGCCTACCTGTGCCCACTCGCCTCCCTCCAGCGAGCCCCGGAACCACCCGGAACCTGCTCCAGGCTGTAGGAAGGCGAGCACGGCACTGGCCGGCTGGGGGATGTTGCTCCCAGAAACAACCCCTGCGCCTCTCCTCCTACCCGCACCCGGCAGCGCAGTGACAGCCGCTGTCTCAGGGGCCCAGGCGTGCGTGCGAGTCTCAGTGCATACGCCTACGCAAGCTTTTTCTTTCTCGGGTGGGGAGTAAAAATGCAGGGTCAAGAAAGAGCTTCTGGAAGATCTGCCTGACTGTATTAATTGGTTTACACTGATATTTTTCACCCAACGTGAGATGGCCTGCTCCTCAGGGCTGTGACGGGGGTGAGCCGCGTGGGCCAGCCCCTTCCCCGCCCGCCCGGTGGTGGGCGTCTCTCCAGGTGTCCGTTCCTCCTCTGCCGGCTCTTTGCTGTCTGCGCTTTCTCCTTCCTCCCCACGCTGGCGCGGCCGCCTCTGACCACACAGTACAGCAGCCTGCGCCCCTCGCAGAGCTGCCTGCCGGCCGACTGGGTCCCTGGAGGAACCAGCAGCGTGCTGGGCTGTTGGCCGCCCCTCCCCTCTCTGAGCACCCAGCAGGAGGAGGACTGAGTGGCGGAGTGAGCTGGCCGCAGGACACAACAGCCACTCCCGAGTGACTCGCCTGCGTGAGCGGCAGTACTCAGCCATCCCACCAGGTGGCGCCAAGCCCAGCGCTGCGCGTCCACCTGCAGGACAGGCTCTGCTGCTGGCACTCGGGGAGGGCACAGAGCGTGAGCACTCCACGGCTGCCTGCCTGTGCCCACGCTCCTTCCTCCAGCAAGCCCGTCAGAGCACCGGCAGCGAGCGTGCCCGCTCTGCTCAGGCCCAGAGGGCTCACAGGGCTCTGACGCCGCCCGGACGCTCCCTGCTACCAGCCCTGAGCCCCGTGCCCCCCCACCCGTACCTTTGTGCAGACCCCCGTGGTGGCGTCACAGAGGGTGAGGATGGACACGTTCTGCGCGCGATTCAGCCAGGTCACGGCGACCTTGGTGCTGGTGGCCCACTTCACCATGGTGATGTAGTACTCCCTGAAAACGGGCAACGCACAGGGTTAGCGACTTTGTGGGAGCCCGGGGGCCAGGAGAGGGGCCCATCCCAGCCCGGGACGCAGGGGCCGGTGGCTGGGGAGTGTGGGTGACAGAGCCACGCTGTGAGGTCCTGCTGTGGGGTTACCGAGAACACAGGTGGACGCAGGGCTCTGACAGAAGCCCAGTCGTTCACAGGGACTACAACACGCTGCCAGACATGGAGAGTCATACAGGAGTGCGTGTGACCCCACGCCTGGCCGTGCCGTCCACCCCCAGGGAGTGTGCATGGGGGCTGCCCCAGGGGCTTTCAAGCCATGTGCCCCAGAGGACGCTGCCCCGTTGGTGCGACTGTCACGGCACCGTGCAAGGCAAGTACACAGCCCCACGCTGCCGAGCAGCAGGGAGGGTCGGAGGAGGCAGGATGGAGAAAGCCCGGACGGGGCTTGGCAGCGGGCGAAAACCTCAGAGCCGGGCTGCCAAAGGCTCCGTCCTTTTTCCCGCTTCCTTAAATACAAAACACTGTGGGTTGCTCTCCAGCTAATTAGGGAAGTTGGTTCATGGCTTCAGGTCAACCTGGTTTGATGTCCTGGGTGTCACATGCCTGACTTTGCCCAAACCTGAAAATACCACAATATTCCATGGATTAGGCTTCTGGCAATTGATGCGATCACCTACAGCCCACCAAAAACTGAATTAAAAAAAAAACAAAACAGTTTACATTTAAGAGGAAGAAGGAAATGTTGAGAAAATAAATGCTCCAAATGAATATCCTCAGGTGAATTCCCAGAATGTTCTAGAAGCCAGCTGATGTGTGTTCAATCACCCACCCCATCTGTATCTATAATGAGATCTGCTGTTCAGAGCGATTACTTCGTGGTCTTACAAGATCCTTTGTCACTACAGACGGCGGGTGGCACCTTCACCAGACAGTTTCCAGCAAGCAGGAAAGGGACCTCCATACATATAGTAATTATTTTTACTGGAAAGGACCAAATATTTTCTGTTTTCACCAGAAAGGACCAGCTGCCTTGACCCAAGCCTCAGTGGACCAGGAGGTAAACTGCTGCATCTCTCCTGTTCCCCAAATCAAAGTTTTTTTTTTTAATTTATTTTTTATTTTTTTTTTACTTTTTTTATTTTTAAACATACAATAGACTTGTTCTGGCACCAAATCAAAGTTTTTAACAACGTGACCTGAATCAGGAGCAGGTGGCACACAGGAGCGCCCGGGCCTCCCACTCAGGTGACCGCCGGGCGCATGGCCGGGAGAGGAGCCTGGAGCCGCCGCTGCAGTCTTGGGGGGTGTCCTGGGGATGGGGTGCGGGAGGCGCACAGCATACATGTGCGAGGAGCGGGGCTCCTCACTGCAGAGAGGAAACACGGCAGTGAAAACCAGGAGAGCCCGAGTGCACACGCCTGGCCTGGCTCCCGCGGAACCCCGGCTGGGGCAGGGCGCGCCACCTGGACTAGGGCGGAACGCGGCTCACCCTGGAGGCCTGCAGGAGCTTTGGTTCTGCAGCTGATGTCACATGGAACTTGAACCCTCAGTTCCTCATTTGTGTGACATGAACTTAAAAAAAAAAAAGAGACAGGTGGTGCCTTTAGAGGTATTACAGGGATGAAAAATAATGAGAAATATTTTGAAAAACCTGAAACAATAAAGATTATCACGGGACTTCATAAAGACTATATGATGAGACACCTTTTTAAACATGCACATCCGCAAGGAGTCCCGCCCTACGTGGGTGAGCGGCAGCTCCTCACGTCTTAGGCAGTTACACGCCTCTTCCGGCCCTGCTGCCATCTGTCAAAATGCCTTGGGAGCCCTTCTCTGCGTCGCCCGGGAACGGCACGCCGCGCTCGTGGATTACCTGCCCTGCGGCACCTGCCTCTAACCAACGCCTCCCAATCCTGCGACCTGCACCGATGACTGGACTTGGCGCTAAACGCATTTCAGTTGTTTTCGAAAAACCAAGTCCGTGTGCAAAGACAGAGCACCGCCACCAATGTGGCAGTTTGCAAGGAGCATTAGAGGCACTTAGGGGGTGAGGTGCGGTGCCCCGCAATGAGGCGACACTTTGGATGCACGGGGGTTCTTCTGCTGTGTGAGTTCTGTAGTCACACTCTGTGCTAAAGGGGAGGAAAATAAAACATGTACCTGCTTAGTGGAGCCTCTCGTACACAGAAATCCCTACGTAAAATAAGCAAAGCTCTCCTAACAATGTGTTTTCCGTCTTCTTAACTTCCAAGCCGTGAGCCTAAGTAGCTGTAGGCAGAAGCAACGGAACAGACTGATGGGGAGGTCGGTGCTAGGCACCAAAGCTGAGCCTTGAGGCAAGCCCTTGCTGACGACCTATGGGGAGTGCCTGTGTGGTTGTCGCAGATAGCACAGACCCGGGCCTCTCTGGGACCACAGACTCCTCCCGCAGGCAGTGGTGTCTGGCCAGCAGACTGGAGGCAGCCTTCACCAGCTTAGAGTTATCGTGCGTAAAAGGACACCAGAAATGATGAAAAGTCACAGAGCCACCAAAAATTGATGTTGCAGACCTCTCACTGCGACACAGAGGGAGCTGAGGAGGTCGGACAAGGGGCTGCCAGCTCCGCCTCCCCCGCGGAACAGGCCCCACCCTCCATGGGAGCGGAGGGCGCCTCCTCTCCGCCCACTGCCTTCTCCTCCCCTCCAAAGCGCTGGGTGTGCCCCAGCCAGAAGTGTGGGAGTTAAGGGTGTTGAGGAAGATCACAATTTTTCATGTATATAAAAACTGACTTAGAATGTCCCAGAAACATTCTAAAGAAGGCAGAAGAAAAATTACAACTCAGCCCAGTGGAACCAGATGGATGTGGTTATACCACACCTTCCAGGTTCACATCTGAGGGGGGGCTCAGTAGCCCCCAAAAAGTCAGAGAGAGGGGTCAAAGGTGACTCCTAGCCTCGCCTGTGGCCAAGCCCAGGTGCGGGAGGAGCTCTCCTTTCGGGGGTAGAGGACCTCGAGCGTCAGTCCAACAGTGCAGAGAAGAGGGAAATGACACCGAAAGTGAAAAGGACATAACTCTAAAGCAGGGGTCCTCAAACTTTTTAAACAGGGGGCCAGTTCACTGTCCCTCAGACCGTGGGAGGGCCGCTGGAGAGTGCGGCGCGCACCTTCCACACATGTGCACTGTGGGCCCGGGACGAGGCGGCTGCTAAGCAAGACAGGCAGCGGCGGCAAAAACACCCAGTGGGCTGGATAAATGTCCTCGGTGGGCCGCATGTGGCCTGTGGGCCATAGTTTGAGGACGCCTGCTCTAAAGACATGAGAGGAGACGGAAAAAGTGAGACAAGGAGCTTGCAAGGGAACCAAAACTGAAAAGTAGAGAAATTTGGTTCAGATAAAAGGAGGACACAGCGGGAGGCTCTCGAGGAAGGCAGGGAAGGGCGGCTCAGACGTGCGGGAGAAGCCAGCTGCTGCACAGCTGGGGACAGAGGTGCTTCTGCAGGAGCCAGCGTGACTGCAGGTCACAACCGCAGACACTGAGGAAGACTCTGTGTGCAGGAGGAAGACCCGCATGGGAGGACAACCAGGATTTTCCACATTCCGGGGGGACACTGACACAACAGCTAAACGTGTTCGACAGGATCTTCCAGTTACAGGGAAAAAGAAATTCCACAACAGTCCAGTAGGAAGGAAACAAGTTTTCGCAGAAGATCAAAAAAATCTTGGCGCCTATATAAAGTTCCTCCTGTTTCATGTCTATTGTTATTTACTGCTTCAATGTGTGTTTTAACAATCAACGTCTTCTTGTTTAGAGCATATCTTCTACTTGTTTATAGCCTACAATATGGCTTGGGAGGAAGGCAATGCAAAATTAAAGGCTCAAAATAAAAAACTCAGCATGTAAAAAAAAAAGATCATCTTTAACATCTATTAACTCATAGCTAGTTCTAAACTACTATCAGTTTGATTATAAATTCAAATTAAGTGATAAAAATAATATGAAAAAGAACATTGGGCAATTATTTTGTAAAATTATAAACATTTAGTAAATTTTTCAAAGAAGACTAGAATCAAAAGGTAGCACACATCACAAATGAAACAGAAGGATAACACTTAAGAAAAAGGAACAGAAACATACTATGTTTCTGGAATAGAAGAATAAACATGATTAACTTTTCAAAATAATTGCCGATTTAGATAAAATTGAAGATATTATATTTAAACTTCACGTGGGCAGAGGCTGTATCCACCTCACTCACTCTGTATTTCGGCACACTGCACAGTGCTTCCCACATGGCGAATGCCTCATATTTGTTACAGGAACCAATTAATTCTAATAGAAGGACAAATGAATTTCTTTTGAGGGGGGCATCAAATAGAATACGTTTAAAGTTTCCATATAAGAAGAACTGGATAAAAAGCCAAGATGATTTTTTAAAAGGAAGAATAATGGGGGAGGATTTATACAAAGAGTTGCTGAAAATACAATGCAGCTATAGAGCTACCTGACTGTTTACTGATGTATCAACCTACGAGTGGGAGGAGAGTCTTAAAGCACAATGTTTATGTGAGAACAGAACAGTTATAACGATGTCATCGCAAGTCAGTGGGAAAGGAAGCTGCGATAAAAGGTGCAGGGAAAACAGCTTCGTTACTTAAAAAGAAAAAAACCAAATAAGCCAAGAGCAAATATACATTCCTAGAAAAAATTATCAAAGGAAAATCTATCAAGTCCTCCACAGTCATTACCTACGGGCAGTGCGCTGACAGGTGTTTATTGCGTTCTACACTGCATGGATTACTTTTTAAATAAGAGGAAGGTGATTAAGAAAACACTGGAAGTTTCCAATTTAAGCTGGTGGATTTATCACATTTGTTTATTTCTCTTCCCTCCAGAAACCTAATGGCAATGATAATGCAGGAATAAAACAGGAATGTATCTACCTACAATACTAAGGATAGCAGGAGGGGCCGAGAGATTTCAGCACAGTTCTGGAAGACAGCAGCAGACGGAGGAGTCACGAG